AAGTGAAACAGAAACATCAATCTGTTGTTCCACTTCCTATGCATTCATTGGTTGATTCTTGTATGTGCCCTGACCAAGGATTGAAATACCCCTTGGTGTATCAGGGTGATGCTCTACCAACTGAGCTGCTCAGCCAGGGCTTGAGTCTCCCAGCTTTTAGTCCGAGTGGCAATATCCCACTTAGGTCCCTGGGGCCAGGTCCCAAGCCCTGGAGTGATTCCAAGATGGAGAGTGCAGTTGGGTCTCCTATCACAGGACTTGACACCTAGGAGGGTTGAGATCCTGGCTGGCCGGCTGGTTCCTTAGAGCTCAGTATGGGCTGGCTGCCAGGATAGGCCCTGGTTCCTGGGGAACACAGAATTTGAGGCTGTCCCACTGTCTGTCCACAGCCCCACAGTCAACACCACCCTGCGCAGCTTGGGGGCCCTGTACCGGCGCCAGGGCAAGCTGGAAGCTGCACACACACTGGAGGACTGTGCCAGCCGCAGCCGCAAGCAGGTGGGCCACAGACCTGAGGACTGGGCAGGGACCTACCTGGCCCTGTTTTTCACCGAATATGCCCTCCACTTCCTTAGGGCCTGGACCCTGCAAGCCAGACCAAGGTGGTGGAACTGCTGAAAGATGGCAGTGGTGGGCGGGGAGACCGCCGTGGCAGCCGAGATGTGGCCGGGGGTGCTGGGGCTCGGTCTGAGGCTGACGTGGAGGAGGCAGGGCCTGCAGCCGAGTGGAGTGGGGTGAGTAGGGGTTGGGGTGGGCCGGGAGGCTGTGTAGCCAGCATGACAGACGAGCATGTCCACACCACAGGACGGCAGTGGCTCCTTGCGGCGCAGCGGCTCCTTTGGGAAGCTCCGAGACGCTCTGAGGCGCAGCAGTGAAATGCTGGTGAAGAAGCTGCAGGGTGGTGGCCCCCAGGAGCCCCCAAACCCCAGGTCAGCCTCTGCCCTGACAAGTTTACCACCCAGGGTGAGCCTGAAGACCCCACCCAACAACCCAAATGAGCTCCTGACTCGGTGCGCTCCTCATCTCTCTCAAGCTCCACTACCCACCAGATCTGTGCCTTTCCCATCAGCTTCCCTCCCCAACCCCAACCCGATCCCCTGCCCCACCTTCCCCAGTTCCACCATGGGCACATCCTGGCCTTCCTTTCCCCTCAGGATGAAGCGGGCCAGTTCTCTCAACTTCCTTAACAAGAGTGTGGAAGAGCCAGCCCAGGTATGGTGGGTGGAGGCCCAGGCCCAGGGCTGGAGGCCTGCATGCCCTCTGCACCTGATGAGCTGCTCAAGCATGTCTTCATCCAGCAGCATTACCTGTCTCTGTCTCTGGCTTTGGGCTGGACACTGGGGAGACAAATTAGGGAAAACCAGCCCCTGCTTGGGTGGACATGCAAGTGGCCAGTACCACAGGCACTGGAGGTGGACAGGGTGTCAGTACCAGGTGGGGCCTGGGTGGGGTCAGGGGTTCTGGCTGGTCAGGCCCCTTTCCCTTCTGGCCAAAGAAGCACAGACTGGCAATAGCACAAGGTTGAGCCACCTGCCCCTCTGCCCACAGCCTGGAGGCACAGGCCTCTCTGACAGCCGCGCCCTCAGCTCCAGCTCCATGGACCTCTCCCGACGAAGCTCCCTGGTGGGCTAATCCTGAAGGGGCAGCCAGTCGCCACAGCCTCCGCCCGGCACTGCCCTCACCCCCAGCCCTGCGCATGGGCCTGCTGCTTGTCTTGCCTGTCTCTCCCAAGGACCCCTGTCTTTTCTGTTCAATCTCAGGGTAACCTCCTTCCTTGTCATCTCAGCCTGAGCCCTGGAGGCTGGGCCTGCCCGGCCCCAGCTCTACCCCTTATTTATTCCTTCCAGCAGGGCCCCTTCCCCTAGGTTCAGAGCCCGTGAAAGAGGCTGGCGGGGGTCTTCCAGGTAGAGATCAGTGGCCTCCCATCCCCTGACCCGGAGTCAAGAACACTAAGTAACTGCCCTCCCGTTGGCACCCTGCCCTGCCCTGCCCTGCCCCCGGCCGTTGCTTCTGTATATAGAGAAATAAGTTATTGGCCGCACCCCTCTCCTCAGTCTACCTACTGCCTGGGCTTCCCCTCACCCGCCCTTCTCTAGTGGTACCGCCCAGGCCTTAATCACTCCCATTCCACGCGGTGGTATCTCCCAGGCTCCACAACACATCTGGGGATCTCCCCAAAGGGTTCCCTGGGCATTGTCGCGCTCCTCCCGACTCTGAGGGGTGCGGACTCTGAGGGGTGCGTCCTGCCCCGCCATCGCTCCATGCCCCAGGATGGAGAGTCCTCCCCTTACCAGCCCCCTCAATGCCGGGCCCTGCCCTGCATCCCGGCCTTATGCACTGCCCCTCCCGCCCCTGCCCAGGCACTGCCTGTCGAGCCATCTAGCCACGCCTTCTCCCACGCCTGCAGCTTCTCTCGAGGGACAGTGATGTCCCTGCTGTGGCAGGAGGGGCTGCTCCAGTTGTGGGGTGAGGTGGTCGTTCTCTATTTTCAAATGTTGCTGTAGAAATAAAGATGGTTTGAATCTGAGCCGGGCTTGTTTTGGGGCTGAAGTCCAGGGCTCCCAGGGTCTAGGTTGGGGTTGGGGTTGGGAAAGGCTGCGAATGAAGGGTGTGTGTGTGTGTGTGTCGCTCACGTCCCGTTCCTCCAACTGGAGCCCAGATACTCTCCTTTCCCATAATTGGGGTCCCAAGGGTCAAGATCTAAGTTTTCATCTTTGAGGTTCTAGAGAATTGTGGGCTTTGATTGAGCTCTGCCCCTTAGTAAGCTGTTAGACCTTGAGCGAGTTGCTGGAATTTGATTTTTCCATCTATAAAATTGGATGAGGACACCTTCTCCCGGGCCTGTGGCTGTGAGTTAGGAACGCCAGGACACGAAGAACCCTGGAGAAATAAACTTCTACTAATACAACTCCGGAGGTGGGAGGGTAGGGATAACTGCCTCTGCCGGACATGTTTAAAGTGTCAAGCCCATCCTCCAATAGAGCTTCCAACTCCAGGACACCATAAGGCTCCCAAGCGCTGTCCAAAAGCCCAGGTATAGAGAGTGAACTACAAGCCCCAGAAGGCAATGCGCAGTGGTGAGCTAGAAGGCTCGGGCTCCCCGGTTTACGCCTGCGCCACGGAGTGTGTTGGACAACGTAAGGAGACTACAAGTCCCAAGGAGCAACGCAGCGGTCCCAGTCAGGAATGTTTGCGGCTGCGCGTCGCGGGCGGGGCCTCTGGGGCGGAGCGGCCACCATCTTGGAACAGGAGGCGGAGCAGAGCCGACTGGGAGCGACCGAGCGGGCCGCCGCTGCCGCCATGAACCCCGAATAGTGAGTGAGCCCCGCCTGCGCCGTCCGGCGTAGCCTCGATCCCGAGTACGGGGCTGTGCGCTTACCGGGTTGTCCTGCTCGGGTCAGGACTGTGCGGCGCCCCCACATCCGGGTCCTTCTTCCGCTGACCCCCCCCCACATCCGGGTCCTGCCCCTCCCCCGGGGCCCCCAGGACCCCGGCTCCACACCCCTAGCTCTTGCACCCGGGGCCCAGAGACTGCGACCCCGAGGGACACTACTGGGAGCCCGAGGGACTGACCCTAACAGGCCTCATAGGTCAGGTGACCCCGCAACCCTGGCCTCTCCAGGCCTCAGTTTCCCCACTTGGCTGAAAGTGGCGATCTGGGTGCTGACAGTGCCCTCAGCGTTATGGTCTCTCACCAGACGGTTCCCGGTCTCGGTCCAGACTCCGGCCCTTGAGGTCGGGCGGTCGATCCTTCTGCTCTTCCCGTTCTCCCGGAATCTGGTTCCCGGGGCTGGTCCCGGGGCTGGTTAGACGCGGAGGCCCCGAGGCGCCGCTCGCTCGGGGTGGCTCTCCCGCAGGTCCTCCCGCCGCAGGTCCTGCCCCCGTGGGTCCGGTTGCCCCGCCGCTCCCGGTCCCTTCCTGCTCGCTCCTCCCCGGTGCAGCTCCAGCGCCGCCGTCACACCCCTTCCCTCGCTGTCACCGCTGATGCTCAGATGAACTGGGCGACTGCCCCCTTCCAGGGACATTCTCTTTCCTCCAAGCCCCGGTCACTCCGCCTGGGGGTGGGGGGCCCACCTCTGCCAGCCTCTCGCTGACAGCGCCCCGAAGAGCCGGCTCTCTTCCCCCTCTGCCTCTTCCCGTTTCTCCTCCAGACCCAGGCCTCACGTCTGCCTGGGGAGCGGACTCTGAGCGGGATGGTCAGGGGTTAGAGGAGGGAACTGACCGGCCCTCACGGAGACTTGGGGCCTGAACCTGGTGTCCAGTCTTAAAGTCAACAGCAGTGTGACTTAGGGCAAGTCACTTCCCTTCTCCCGACTCTAGTTTCCTCATTTACTGGGAATAACAACACCCCTCTTCGTTGAACGGTTGCGAGGCTTAACTGAGAGGGGGCATTTGGAATATTTAGCACTGGGTCAGGCACAGGTAGGAACTCAGTACATCTCACCTGCTGATGTGGTTACTGCCCCCACTTCCGAGAGGCTTCATTCCGTGCTCTTCACACAGATGTTCCCTCTACAAGCGCCAGGCTGGGCCCAGCTTCCACTTTGGGGCCTCCCCTGCCAAGACGGGTCCCCCCCGGGCAGTCCAGGCAGCTCCCTGGACAGTCCCTGCTGGGCTCCAGACCATGGAGTGTGTCCGGGGTCAGGGTGGGATACCTAGCTCTGGCACCTGACTTTTTGTCATGCCCCTCTCTGGACCTCAGTCTCCCTCTCTGTAAAGTGGGAATTCATACTCATGCCTTTGGCCAGCTGTGTGAGGGCGTGGTCAGCTCTCCCTCCCCTCGGACTGGTGGGAGGATCTTGTGAACAGCGTCGGCATGTCAGTGTGGGAGAACGCTGTACCTGTGGCTCCAGGAGGATGGCGGTGGGCTCCCTACCTGCCTTCACACTTTCCCATCCTCTCTCTCTAGTGACTACCTGTTTAAGCTGCTTTTGATTGGTGACTCGGGCGTGGGCAAGTCATGCCTGCTCCTTCGGTTTGCTGTGAGTAAGAAGTCTCCCATACCATCCTTCTGGGTTTCTGGCTGGTGGCTGGAGGGAGAATGGGCAACAGTAGCACAGTAGCTGCCCAGAGCACAGTAGCTGCCAGACCTGGGGATCAAGGATGAAGTTGCAGGACCTGCCAGCAACATAGCTGACTGAACAAGGGCAGGTGGCTGGCAAGCTGGGTGCAATTAGGAGCTTTGCTGGGGCAGGAAACTTGAGGAAGGTTTTCTAGGTAGGCCTCCGGCCTGTCCACTCAGGACAGTTCACTGGCCTCTGATCTTCCAGGATGACACATACACAGAGAGCTACATCAGCACCATCGGGGTGGACTTCAAGATCCGAACCATTGAGCTGGATGGCAAAACCATCAAACTTCAGATCGTGAGTGTCGCTCTTCCCACGGCCCCTGGTGCAGGGGCCTCCGCCATGGAAGGTAGGGCTCTGGGCATGGAGCCCAGGGCTGACCTGCCCTCTCCCGTACTGTCTTGTAGTGGGACACGGCTGGTCAGGAGCGGTTCCGGACCATCACCTCCAGCTACTACCGGGGAGCTCATGGCATCATTGTGGTGTATGACGTCACCGACCAGGTACTCTTGGGCTCACCTTCCCCTGCTTTGCTGTCTCAGCCTCAGGCCTTTGACTCTGGCTTCTTTTCACTCTTCCCATCCTCTTCCTGATGTGGCCTGGAAAGGAGACTGGACCGGACCCATTTCACCCAGAGGGAAACAGAGCAAAAATAGATCCTCAGAGGCCCTGCTGCAGGGTCTTCACAGAGCCAGGCCCCGCCCCTCCCCGCCAAACTTGCCACCTTATTTTAGACCATCCAGGCACCTGTGTTTTGAGGGAGTTAAGTCAGTTGATTGGTCGCTGTGCTGGGCCCATGGCCTCCTGTGTAAAGACACTAGAGAAGCCAGTGGAGAGCTTTAGGCAAGGAAGCGAGGGGGCCCTGCACTCTGGGCGCAGTGTGAGCAGAGGCCTGGGAGCCCAGCGCCTGCTGCGGCAGCATTCGGCATGTGTCTTTGGCAGCAATAGAAACAGTCACGGCATGCCTCATGGCTGACAGAGCCTGTCCGTCTTTGGTGTGCATAGCCCTCGAGAGGTCTGCATTGTGTTCCCATTCCACAGGTGAGATGGTCAGAGCGGTGAGACTCGCTCAGAGTCCTGCAGCTGGTCACGTGGCAGAGACAGAAAGCCTAGTCCGCTGATTCTACTTCATTCTTTCTACCAAACCTCGGGCTCTGGGGATGTGGAGATGCTTGCTTACAGGAGGAGTCCCTGCTCGTAGGGGCAGCTGAGCTGTCTGGCTCAGCAGGGACTCGTGGTGGTGCCTCCTGGACAAGCTGTGGGTGAACTGTGCTCCACTCAGACAAAGGTCACCAAGGACCTCTAACTGCCAAATCCTGTGACCTCACTGCAGTTCTCGCCCAGATCACCTCTCGTGGCTTTAACTCTGTCCTCTCCTAACTCCAGCTCTCCCAGTGCCTGCTGCGCTAGATGATCTTTTCAGTGGCTTTTCACTGCTTCACCCTGTACTGACCTCCATACCCCATATTTGTGCTTCCTGACCTTGCCCCAAGCCTCCTCCTGACTCCCTGCATGGTTTTGGCCCCTTGGTGGTTGGCTTCTGTCTTACGTTCTGGGATTCCTATGTCTGAGTAGCTCTCACTGTACATCTTCTCTTGGTCCGACATTCTGCTGGTACTTTGTGTCTGTATTCTAATCTTCACAACATTACCCAGTGAACTAAATGGTGGGTCCCGGCTTTCCTGGTGAGGAGACACGCTGGGAGAGGTGTGAAGTAACTTGTCCCTGGTTTCACAGCCCAGAAAGGCAAAGCCAGTGTTTGAATCCAGGGTTCTTTGCTTCCGAGCGCACCTTTTCGTGCTCCTGTACAGCCTCTCCTGAGCTCTGCCCCTCTGCGGCACTCAGCGTGTCCAGCACTGGCCTCGCCATCTCTCCCCGAGCCAGCGCTCGCAGCCCTCTTAGCCTGACGAGAACACCCTTCCCTCCCCCGTCCAGACAGTCTGAGCCCCCTCTGCCCTCCCCCATCCTCTCTCTCAAATCTGGCTCCTCCTAACAGCAGTGATGGGGTACCAGCAGCTCCTAATTCAGCTCTTGTTGTGGGACAGGCCTGCATTCATCATCTCATGCTCAGCCCCCCTGGGAGGCACTGCTTTACAGGGGGGAGGAAACGGGCTCCCCAGGTGACATCTCGAGGGTCACACAGTCAATGGCAGAGCCAGGGCTTCACCCAGGAGAGTCGGCCTGGGTCCTGTGCTCTTCCCTGCCTCACCCCCTGGCTCAGGCACAGCTTCTCGTCCCTGTTGGTCTCCATCTTGCGGCTCTGATCTGGCCTCCACTCCTGCCAGGACTGTCTTCCCAGAACACAGGTGTGTTCCTGCCACTCCCTTCCTAAGAAAACCCCCCACTGGCTCCTGGTTGTCTAAGATGCAGCCAGGCTAAGCTCCTCCAGGCGCTAGCCTGCTCCTCGCCCTCTGCCTGCTCAGAGCCTGCGTCCCAGCAACATTCAGCTTCTCCCACTCTCCAAAGGCACCATGCCCCTCGCACTCCGTGACCTAGCGCATGCCGTGTACTCCCCTTGCACCTTTCCCCGTCCCCTCACTTGGTTTCTCACAGGCCAGTTCGTCCCTGCAGGTGTGGGTCAGCTGAGGCTCCGCAGGCAGTGGTAGTCCCGGAGCTCAGCAGCTCCCGTCCCTGCAGCACCCAGCACCCTGTCACGCCACCGTGTGTCCTGGTCTCGTCCTTCCTTTCCCGGTGCTTTAGGGCACGCACGGTCCAGGTGTCATTCCTCTGTATCCCCAGTCTCGTCCTTCCTTTCCCGGTGCTTTAGGGCACGGTCCAGGTCTCATTCCTCTGTATCCCCAGTGCTCAGCACAGGGCCCAGCCTGGGACATGGCGGGGGGTGGGGGTGGGGTGTAAGTGTGAACCCCGGTGATACCTGTCCTCTCTGGCTCCAGCACAACCTTGAAAGTTCCATCCTCCCCGCATGCCGGCTGGGGGCGGGAATGGCAGATCCCCTGAGCCGAGTGAGGAGGCTGTTGGGGCCAGAAGTAGGATGCACGCTAGACTCTGTTCCCAGGATCCCTGTCTCCCTCATAGGCCAGGGTCTCTTCTGCTGCAAGCTCCCTTCACCCACCATGGGCTCCAAGACCTCAACCTTAAAGGGACTATAAGGCCACTGCGAGAACTTGGTGATCCTTGCGAACCTGTTACTCTCGATTTCTCTCTTCCTGGCCTCTCTCCTGATGCCATTTGCTCCCCCATGTGGTTGGACCTTTTTTGTGTGTCAGGGAGAGAGAAGCAGCTGCAGGCCCTTAGGCCTACACTGTTTAGGGGCTGGGGCGGGGCTGGGCTGGCTTTTGGAGTCTCAGACGGAGGAGGCCAGGGAGGACAGTGGAGCCTGGAGAAAGGCGCTTCCTGTGGGTCCCTTGAGTCCCGGGCTCCTGCTCTCAGGAGTCCAGGGCAGCCCTTTCCCCTCAAAGCCCCTGTTCTCCAAGTGTAGGGTAGGGGTAGGGGTGGGAGCACAGTAACTTTCCGCCCTGGCTGCCCTAGGAATCCTATGCCAACGTGAAGCAGTGGCTACAGGAGATCGACCGCTATGCCAGCGAGAATGTGAACAAGCTCCTGGTGGGCAACAAGAGTGACCTCACCACCAAGAAGGTGGTGGATAACACCACAGCCAAGGTGAGCGGCCGGGCCGGGCCTCCCAGGGTGGCTGGGGCGACTGCCTCTCATGCCTCACTTCTCTCCTCTTCTCTCCCCTTGTCAGGAGTTTGCAGACTCTCTGGGCATCCCCTTCCTGGAGACGAGTGCCAAGAACGCCACCAACGTTGAGCAGGCGTTCATGACCATGGCTGCTGAAATAAAAAAGCGGATGGGCCCGGGGGCTGCCACCGGGGGTGAGCGACCCAACCTCAAGATCGACAGCACCCCTGTGAAGCCAGCTGGTGGCGGCTGTTGCTAGAAGGGGCGCGGGGGTGGGACAGGAGGGACACCTTCTCCAGATGATGCTCCTGGAGGGGGCAGGAGGTGCCTCCCTCTCCTGGGGTATTTGAGTCTGTGGCTTTGGGGTGTCCTTGGCTCCTCATCTCCCTCTGGCCCATCTGCCTGCCACCCTGAGCCTCGGTTCTGCCAGGCCCCAAGGGAGGACACCCAGGACCTGGGGCTGGGGCGCGGTGGGCCCTGCTCTGCTGCTGCCTCTAGGTAACTTAAGATACGCCACCACACACTTTTCTTTGGGATGAGGGCCCTCTGTCTGTCTCCCTCCCCTGGCCCCCATGTATGCTGCAGTGGGTTTCTCTCCTTGTCCTTCTCCCCTGCCCAACCCTTCCCCACGAACTGAGGGCCTCCTGGCCTCTACTGCCCAGGCTGAAGTCAGTGCCCGGCGCCAGAAATGGGACCGGGACCAGAACCTGGGATCCAGGGTCCTAGGTCGGACCTCAGGACGGGCATGGGGTTACAGGGGCCCAACAGCACCCCCTTTCCCCTCCTCCCTACCGCTCCTCCCACCCCTCCCACACTCACAGCTCCAGCTGTCCAGCCAGTGAGGTCTGAGCCCATCTAGTGCAGGTGGGCGGGCAGCCGAGCTGGGCCTGTGTCTTGTGCCCAGAGGGAGCCCGCTCTTGCCACCCCCTGCCCTGCCAGAGCCAGGCCCATGTGCTGCCTGCCCACCGTGCCCCTTTGTCCTCAAGGCAGGCGGAGGTGGAAGGCACACCTTGCCAGAGGCCCGGCACCAGCCTTAACCCTCACTCTGCCAGCACCTCCCTTTCCCTGAGGCAGCGCAGTGGCTTTCTCTCCCCTTCCTTGGAGCCTACAAGGGCAGGTCCTCATCCTCTGTTGCTACTTCTCTGGGGAATATGGGTGCAACCCAGGGTTGGGGGTCTCTCTTCTCACCCCCTCCCACCCAGGATCCTAGCCCCTGGCCCTCTGGCACAGCTTCTTCCTGCAAAAAAAACCTTTGTTCTCTACCTGACAAGCCATGTCCCTTGTGCTGTCTCGCGCCTGTCCCACCTGTGCCCTGCCTTCCAGCTTGTATTTAAGTCCCTGGGTTGCCTCTTAGGGTGCCCCCCTTCTCCCAGGTTCCCCTCTGGTCATGTCAGGCATTTTGCAAGGAAAAGCCACTTGGGGAAAAGACAGAAAGGACAAAAAAATAAATTTCCACTGGCCCTCCGGTGAGCCGAGGGTTTTTGCAAGGAAGTTGTGGTGGCTGTGTGTGGTCTGTGTGGGAGCCGCCTTGAGGAGGGGGTTGGAACTGGAGCCCTGGGCTTGGTGGGCTGCACAGGGGTCTGGGCGTGGGCTGCATCCCAGGGTTGCTGTCCGAAGTCCTTGACCCACTTCCCGAAGCCAGGAGAGCTGCGGGCTTGTGCTGCGGTCTGTCCCCATGGGGCCCAGCACGATTCCAACAGGGAAGGAGGCAGGCCATCAGCGAGTACCTGGTGGTGCCAACACGCCCTCGGCCCACAGGCTGTGAATGGGCAATAGCGGGGCACCCCAGGCATTGTGCCCCACTGGGCCTGGCCCACGTCCGCCCAGCCCCCTCTCTGACTTCACTGGCTTCCAGCCAGGCTTCTGCCCCCGATGGTGGCAGTGCTTCCCGCTGAAGACCTCAGTACTGCCTCTGGCCGGTGGGTGAGAGCGGGGGTGAGTGCTGGGCCGAGTGGACCTAGTCGGGCTGGTGGGTTTGTTGGCTGACACCTGGGCAGGTGGAGGGGCGCATGTGCCAGAGATGGGCGTCCCGCCTACGTGTCGCTGAGGTTGGGGTGGGCGGTGGCACTCGGAC